CCGTTGTATATTTTATTTACAAACAAGTCAGACGCGGCCATGTTTTATTTATCGAAGCGAATCTTCAATCTCTCGTTTTTCGAAAATAAAGTTACTTACTGAATCAGAGTTGTAAGGAGATACAGATTCCACGGCACCATCTATTCTAGCTAAGAATATCTTTGATTATCGTTTTAGTACCAATGGCCAAAGTAAGTAAAAGTACATTCAAATTCGTTCTCGTTGACATTTTCAAGTATGCAAGAACCATCAAAGCAAACGCTTTAAAAGAACTTCAACGGAATACAATAATTTCTCTTACGGATAATAATTCTCTGATAATAACCGCTCGAATATTTTCTCGGTGGAATTTACCATCAGTTTAATTTAATTTGACATAATTATTCTGTCATGACTCTTTCAAGTTGTTCGATTATTTTTTCATACTGTCTTTTAGTGTCGCTTGTTTAGTGTAGGATTTTACAAAAATGCAAAGTTGATTTTCCTATATTCTTCTGTAAAGAAAGAATTATTAAATAAATAATCAAAATATCAGCTAAATATTAAAAATTAAGTAAACATCATTGTACATTAGCGGTTAGCAAAGTTAGCTAAAGAAACTAAAAAATGAAGCTATTGGTTGTGAAGTATTTCGAAAATTTCAAGAGTACAAAATAATTCGAAGGGTTAGAAAAATTTTAAAAGAATAAAACAACATTTATCCTTTTTATATACAAATGTTCTTGATTTAATTATGATTATAATTCATATTGTAAGAAATTATTACTATATTTGTATACACTATAATTATAATTATAGTGTGTATAATATAACATAAATTATAATACAATTATATATTATAATTACAATTAATACACGTAATATATATAAATTATATTAATAAACAATATGTAATATTAATTATAATATATATAATATATACATAATTTATATAATATATTATATTATTATATATATAATAATGATTATAATACATATTATTATATGTTATTAAATTAATTGGGAAATTATAATTATAATATATATAACAAGATTCTATTTCCATAGTATTTCATCAACCTCAGATAATGAATTTGCGAATAATATTTTCCCCTCCGCGAAATTTGTTTCTTATTGGCGATTTTCGAGACCGCGACTATTAAAAGCTTCCTTATTCAGCGAAATCGATTCGAAACACTCGAACGCGTTTCAAGTCATCGAACAGCCAACATCTCGATATTACCGCGGCTGTGTTCCCCGATTAAATTCGAATTAATGGTCGTGATTAAATCAAGCTCGAGCACCAAGTATCGAAGTGTTGGACGATAGGGATCGCAAGCTTGAGGGAAGTTGAAACTTTTAACGAAGGAGAATCCTGGCGTGACAAATTAAAAACGATCGGGAGACGAGCGAAGTTCGTCGAACTTTGTAAATTCATGGATAATTCCAAGCTTTTAGTTAAGAATTTCTCTTTGAAAAATTCGTACCGCGACCTCGTCGCGCTTACGCGTTCTTTCTTCTAATTTGAGAGAAAAATGAAAAAAAATTCTTTAAAATAGGAAATCACGTGATGTGAAAGATGATTTATGTATTAATTGTTTTTTCTTTCTTTTTTTTTTTTTTTTGTTCAGTTTTGTTACAAAATGGATATTTTTCTTGGTAATTTTTGAAAGCCCACGTAATTTAAATATAAAAATAAACTTAATACAATTTAAATATAAGAATAAACTTAATACAATTAAGTATAAGAATAAGTTTAAATATAGGAATAAACTTAAGAATATAAGAATAAGTAGTTTAAATATAAGAATAAACTTACTAATATAAGAATAATATAATAATATAAGAATAAATAATTAATAATATAAAAATATAAGAATAAATAAGAATTTAAATTTACAATTTAAATATAAGAATAAATTTAATATAAGAATATGTAGTTTAAATATAAGAATAAACCTAATAATATAAGAATAAATAATTAATAATATAAAAATATAAGAATAAATAATTTAAATATAAGAATAAGTAGTTTAAATATAAGAATAAACTTAATAATTTAAGAATAATATAAGAATAATATAATAATATAAGAATAAATAATTTAAATATAAGAATAAACTTAATACAATTACTGACAATTGAATGTAACGCATTTGAATGTAATTAAATACTTCTCAAGTACTATATTAGTTGCAAAACTGGAAAAATTAAATAACACTTTATACAACAAAGAAACTAGGAAGTGTTAATATGTAAAACTATATGGTGGGATATAATTTCTAATTTGAAAATTTTATTACTCAATACTGTGAATGTTAGAAGTACTGAATATTAAAAACAGCGACAGAGAACACTTCGTAGCTGCACACTATTTTTTTTTTTTATTGAAAGACTAACAACTCCAATCGGTATTTGCACGATCGACTAATAAGAATTGAAGATAAATTTCACAATCCTGAGCCCTGTGTTTTGCAAGTTTATTATCCTACTTTCGCGTTCAAAATTATGTACCATTACTGTGTAAAATACGTGTACGAATGTACCTTACACGGTGCAATTTTGATTCTATAAAGCAAGACGTTCTGGCATACTTTACTTTTAAGTAGATGAAAACAACCCGACAGGGAGATATTATGCAATATGAACGAGACACAACAGAGAGCTAACACGCAACGTATTTTCGTGTCACGTACACGTATGTAGTTTAAGGGTTCTAGAACTCTTTATTCAGGTTTCTAGAATGTCATCTATTTAAAATGGTCGAGGTGGAACGAAATTGCTGCTTGAAGTAACAAACTAAACGTGATGACTGCAAAAATCAAATTTAATGTAATATAATATAATATTCTAAAATTTATTATATAATATATAACATTTATTTTTATATATATATATATATATATATATATATATATATATATATATTATATGCTGTATTGTATCATGACATTCTTACAAAATCGTTTGTATATAAAATAATATTTTACTCTTCCTTGAAAAAAGTTAATAACTGTATACACGTAATTGTTTCTTAAAAAATGGTATTTTATTCATTCATATCATATTTCTCTATAAAATTAGTTCCAAATTTAAATTAGATCTGTTTAGGATAAAAATTCTTTTATATATTAATTTTTATATTAAATATTAAACATATTAATATTATATTAAGTATTAAGTATATTAATATTATATTAAATACTAAATATATTAACATTACATTAAATATTGAGTATATTAATATTATATTAAATACTAAATATATTAACATTACACTAAATATTAAGTATATTAATATTATATTAAATATATTAATGTTAGATTAAATATTAAATACATTAACGTTATATTAAATACTAAATACATTAACATTATATTAAATATTAAATATATATTAATATTATATAATATACACCCTGTATAATATTACATGTATGATCCTAGAGAAATATTTCTCAATACGCTGCACCGGCAATTAAAATTAATTGAGAAACTCGTGACAATCTTTCTTTCTAGCCGGTTGTTTAATTTTAATTAAGCAGACATGATTCTCAGTAACGTTCCTACAGAGACAACGATAATCAAGGAAATTAGAAACAACGTTAAATTCATAGGGAATCTACTCGTTCGAACGTGTTCGCCCGAAATCGCTGCGCTCCAGCGTTTCTCGGTACGTTTTAGCCACGGTGGGACAGACATAATCGTACGGTGGATATGCAAATTTCCAAGATTCTCCATTCCCCGCCTCTATCCTACGAGCGAAAGCTTTTGCTTTGGTTCATACTTAACACTCTGATGATCACGCTGTCCGAGCACCGTTCTTCTTAAAAATTCATAAATTCGTTATCGCGTTAATATTCAAAAATTATATGAAACGTACACGACGTGAAAACGCAATTTTTGCAGATAGTTCATTGGTAATTATTAGACCGCGTTACTTTCTATGCATTTATGTGAGATTTAAAGATGCAAAAATATGCGGAATGCGTGTAACAAAATATATATGAATGTCCACGTTAATGGGGATAAGATAATATGCAAACTGTAGATGCCTGTGTGAAAGTGGATGAAGTCTGTGATTAAAAAGTAGGATGGAAAATATTAAAATAAAAGAATCATAAACAATGTTACAAGATGTAATAATAAAATAATATAAGTAATAAATAACAATGATATGTAATTAAATGAATAATGATAATTTGTAATAATAAAATACATAATATATAATTAAATGAATAATGATAATTCGTAATAATAAAATACAAAATATGTAATTAAATGAACAATGACAATTTGTAATAATAAAATGCATAACATATAATTAAATGAACAATGATAATTTGTAATAATAAAATACATAATATATAATTAAATCAATAATGATAATTTGTAATAATGAAATACATAATATATAATTAAATGAACAATGATAATTTGTAATAATGAAATACACAATATATAATTAAATGAACAATGATAATTTGTAATAATAAAATACATAATATATAATTAAATGAACAATGATAATTTGTAATAAAATACATAATATATAATTAAATGAATAATGATAATTTGTAATAATAAAATACACAATATATAATGAAATGGATAATGATAATTTAATAAAAGAAAATAAGCTAGATGAACTCGTATTTGCTGACAGAAATGAAATAATAAAGTAATCACAGGTTACGTTTCAGATCATTTAGTTTTCAATAACTTATCGACCAAAGAAAAAGGCACTACCCACAGTCAGTTGATCACTCGTATTATCGACATTCTGAACTATAATAGTCTCTGTACATTTATCGCGTGAATATTATATAAATTACATTTATGCGTTTACGAAGAATTTAACGATGCAAGCATGCGTGATATTTGTAAAATATGTAAATAAAAACATCTGTACAATTAACACACACATTAACGCACAATGATTCTCAGTCTCGTGAAAATGCATTCTGCAATGCTCTTTATCATCACCTTTGCAATAACGCTTGGGCATTCTTCTGTTTCAGGGGTACGAGGGGTCCCTGTTGAAAGTCACAAGCAAAAATGGGAAAACAGCGTCGGTGAGTCATTAATTTTTCAAATTACCCGCGGTAGTTTCGCGAGGCATCTCTTACCCGTGTGAACTAAAATGAAAAAGTAGGAGAGAGAGAGAGAGAGAGAGAGAGAGAGAGAACAAGAGAAAGGAACAAAATAAAACGAAGCGTATCGCGTGCTTTCAACGCTGGAACGATGGATCTGTTCTAGATTTCCGCGTAGCTATTCACCATACGTGTTCATCGAGGAAACGAACGAAAGAGGGAAGAAAAGAAAGACATACATCGACAGACAGACAAAGAGAGAGAGAGAGAGAGAGAGAGAGAGAGAGTGACAAAGAGAAATGATAGAAGAGTGAAGCCGATGGTATATCCTTCGCGAGTACACCGATTCCCTTTTACCTATTTCAGAGATTTCTCCATCAATCGATGGAACGAGTCGACAAAGTGTCGAGATTTCCTTGCGATTATTCGTCGGCGAGGAAACCGATGGGGAAACTTGCCGCGAATATCGAAACTTTCAATCGAATTCTGAACCGTCAAGAGAACGGTTCGTCTGCCCTTCACAAAAGGATCTCTTCCCCCTTCTTTTTTATTTTCTCCTTTCTTTCATTTTCTTTTCTTTTTTTTTTTTTTCTTTTCTCTTCGATTTCTA